CCATCCACTCCTGCCTCCCCTACACCCCGAGAGGCACTGTTATACTGAGTTTTATGTTCATTATCCACTTCCTTTTTGTTTTGTTTTGTTTTGGTGAGGAAGCTCAGCTGTGAGCTGACATCCATTGCCAATCTTCCTCTTTTTGCTGAGGAAGATTAGCCCTGAGCTAACATCTGTGCCACTCTTCCTCTATTTTGTATATGGGATGCCGCCGCAGCATGGCTCAATGAGAGGTGCATAGGTCCGCATCCAGGATCTGAACCTGCAAACCCCGGGCCACCAAAGCAGAGCATGCAGACTTAACCACCATGCCACCAGGCTGGCCCCCTTTACTTCCTTTTTTTAATACTTTCATCATATATTCATATATTCCCTCAACTATGTAGCTTTTAGTGTTGCTTGCTTTTGAGCTTAATAAAAATGGTGTCATTCTGTGTGTCATCTGCTACAACTCGCCTTTTCCATCAATATTCTGTCTGTAAGATTTTTCCGTGGTATTGTGTCTAACTGTAGTTCAGTTATCTTTATTGCTGTATAATATACCTTGGTATGATTTTTTTTCCAGGTTTTTTGCTATTTAGACAACCCTGTTATGAACATTCCTGTACATGTCTCTTGTTACATATGTGCAACAATTTGTCAGCGTTTTGCTATATTTGCTTCATTTCTCCTCTTTTTCCCCTTGAGCCATTTCAAAGAAAATTACAGACATCATGCTATTTACAGCCCTAAATACTTGAGCTCAAATTTCTAAACAGTAATAGATTTGCATTCATGGGATAAACCTACTTTGGTTATGATTCATGATTATTTTTTATTCTCTGCTAGATTTAGTTTGTTAATATTTTGTTAAGATTTTTGCATCTATGTTCATGAATGATATTGGCTTATAATTTTCTTTTCTCATACTCTTCTTATTTTGTTTTTGTATCAATAATATACTGGCTCATTGAAAGAGTTGAGAGCGTTCCTCTTCTTTAAATTTCCTAGAGGAATTTATGTAAGATTGACATGCTCTTTCCTTGATCATTTGGTAAAACTGCCCTGTAAAACAGTCTGGGCTTAGCGTTTTCTTTGTGGGAAGATTTGTAATAACCGATTTAATTTTGTTAATGGTTACAGGACTTTTTCATTTTTATAAGTTGTATTTATCTAGGTTTTAATCTCTACTGTAGCTGTAGAAATCTTTTCTTTTTCATTCTTCATATCATTTTTATGCTTTCTCACCCCTTTTTTTAACTTTTGGCTTT